GCGCCATGCTATCGATTATTGACGTGCTCCCTAAGAATAAAATTGCATGTAATGGAGATTTTCATTTCTATTTCTTGTAAAACAAAACAATTATTTTATTATTCCCTAGATCCTAATAAAACATGTCCATTTAGATAGCTATGGGGAAGCAGGAAGCTTATTGAAAGGATTACCTTTGTTTTGCAATGCAACCCGCACCCCCTTTTTAAAATTATAATACATCTTCCCCCATCGTTTGAAAAGCCATAAAATTCTCTTTACCGAAATACACACAAAAAAAATTTAAAAAAGCCAAGACAAATACAAAATAAGTAAATTTAAGATATTTCACATTTTCATTGCAAATACCGCGTGACCCAATAAGACTGTTCCTTGGCCATATCTCGAGAACCGTTCGTCATATGACTTAGGGGTAAAACAATTATAGGGTAAATCGGTCATGAAGAATCGCTGGAAAATATTTTCAAGTTCTAAAAACGACCAACAGAGGACGTAACAACCATCTTAAATTTTAAAATTGCATTTTCAGTTGGTCTATCACTTCTTCCTAGATGCCCTGTTAAAATTCCTTCTAAAAATATAGACCGAATAATAATTTGATTCCCTAAACAAAGATTTTCTGCGGAAATTGGGTGCCATCTTCTCGAAACATGTGTGAATATTTATACCCAGTACTTACAATTGTTTGTTCACAAATTCGTTCAAGAACAAAACAGGGTGTCCCATTTTTAAAACTTTTCTAGTTTGCATATTTCCGTAACTGTTGGTGCAAAAAATAACATAACCGTCATGTGCGTCTTTTTGGTCAAATTTAAAATGGTAACATCAAAATTTGACAACATTCCCTGCCTCAAGAGAAACGGTGGAAAATCAAAAAAATTTTCAATATTAGAATGACTAAGTATATTTTTCTTACTTAAAAGAGATACAGAAAATAATGTTTATTACAAGATTGCAACAGGTTCTTTATAACGATAGTTGAATAATTGCCCTTTTCAAAATAAGTATACAGGGTTAGGTAAATAAGTAACTAACCTCATTTTTTAAATGGACCACCTTATATCTTTTAATGATATTAAAAAAGATTCATGTGATTAAAAAAATGGAGAAAAGATTTAAAAACATTAAAAACATTTTAAAAAAATTAAAAGGGTTTCAAATGTTTCAAAAAAATACAAACACATTGAATTTGTTTAATTTTTTTAAATCTCTCTAATCTTTTTGTATCAATATTACATTTTTTAGAATTTTTTAGTGTTATATTTTTGAAAAGAGATTTTAATGTGCTATCGTTTGAGATTAAAATATACAAGGTGTTCCGCTAAAAAATGAGGTTATGTTCTATAACCATTTTACCGGACCCTGTACACATATTTTGAAGATGGCATATTCAACAATAATTATAATGAAACTTTTATATTTCTTTTAACTAAGAAAATATAGAGTCATTCTAAAATTGACAGTTTTTTCCCCCGTATCTCTTAAGTGAGCGAATATTTTCAAATATTGATATTACCTTTTTAAGTTTGACCAAAAGATACATGGCGCCTATACTTTTTTGATAGCACTCACAATTCCGAAGATACCATATAAAAGTGTTGAAAATGGCAGGACACCCTGTATATTTGTCGCTGAAGCTGAGATGTTGATTCACAGAAGTCAATTTCGCCTAATTCTTTTCGAAGTTGTACCTCGAATGGATAAAAATTGTCCTTTTTCCAGAATTGTATAAATTGACGCGGTAGATACATTAATCAATTTTGCGACCGTTGGAATTGATGACGTGGGATTTGTCGCAAACTGACCGCGAACCTTAATTTCGCGCACACCGTCCAACATTCTCGGCTGTGTATCTTACACGGCCCTGAAACTTACACGCCAACTAGATAACATACTTACGCCCGATATTCTTATGAGTGTAACGGGAGCCCGTTATGCAGCCAAAATTTTTCGATTTTGACGAAAATACACCTTTTGAAGCACCAGGAATCCGAATCTGTCTGTCTGTCTGTCGATTTGTTACTCTCTCCCTGTTCTATACCCTCATTTACGGCTCAACGGCTGAACCGATAGGACCCAATTTTGGTACATATATTTTTATACATAAAAGGAAGAGTTAAAAAGCTTTTGGGCAGAATCGAGCATGTGTAAGTGTATCAAAGTAACAAAAAAACTGTGTTTTTCTATTATGGCTACACTATTGCATCGTGTGGGTGGTATCTGCACTAGCCACAGAAAATCTTTGTCTATAATTTTGAGTTATAGCAGTATAACTTTGCGTTTGTTCCATTTTGATATAGAGCACGGCAATACTGGGAACGGAAAATCGGGGAGCGACGCGCAGAGACAATGATAGTGTATAGTTCGTCTGCAAGAATTTGAATTACAAAAGAAGCGAACTTAAGGTCCAATTACATAAATAAAGGAAAAGTATTCCGGTGTAAATCGGAACAAGGAAATTGTTTTTTGTTAACAAAATTCTTGCTAATTTTGCGAAGACGAATCAGTCGTTTTACCCGCGGAGGTTGTACCTCAACGACGGTAAATTAAATTTTCTTGTAGCCGTAAGAACAATAAGTTCGATATATACAAGGTGTTCCTAAATATGACATTTATTTATTTATTGTCCCTCTCTTGTTCGGGGCCCTCAACAGGCTTGTGTCCAATTATTGAGTCCAAATCTGAACTCTAAAAAGTAATAAAAACAGGAGATTATCCAAATAATAAATAAAAACAAATAAAATAAATAAAGAAACAAATAAATATTGAGCCTACTGGGCCATTTTAAAAATTCAACATTTTAGCTTATTTATTATTTTATTTTTATTTTTCTCCCAATAACGGTCGCAGATACGAAAAAATTATAAGAAACAAAAAGGATTCTAAACAAAACGGAAAATCAATTTCTTATTTTGCAATCCACCAGCGGCGTACCGAAAAAAAGTTCAAGGGTGGAAAATGGAACATGGCCCCCGAAAATTCTCACTAACATCGACCTAACCAATGATGTAAGCCCTTCGGCGTAACTTACATTCCCAATTTGAACAAAATATCTCAAAAACTGTAGGAGACAAAGCAAAATCTTTTTCCTGTAAATCGGTAACAAAATGTTAGTGGACCTATATTTTTATGAACTCTTAGTCATAAAATACTCCAAAGAATTAGCTATAGGACATAATATTTAGAAACACTCTGTATACGAGATACTGTAATTTTTTTGCTTGATTTGTATAAAGTTACTGATTGGTTCTTTTTAACAAAACTGCAAATTTTATTGGCATTAGAAATCGTACAATTTTTCTTAAATTTCTTAAATTGGCTGTTGGAGCCCCATTATTCCGTAAAGTTGTTACTGTGAACTCATTTAGCAAGGATTTGGTTTTCTTTTCCATTTAAGGTTGGGTTAGTCAATTTCAACTAGAATTTTCATCTAAATAGGTTCAACTTTGTTAGCCATAAAGTGTGTATTCGTTGTGAAAAAAACGCCGTATTATTTTTGTTCATTAAAATTTGAGTAGAGGTACTTGAGAAAGGAGCGTGACCATGGATATGGGGTTTATTTTATCAGAAGTACCATAACAAATTTGTAAGTAGTGTAAGATAACAGACCTTGTAGGTCAGTAGTAGAACGTTGGGCTACAAAACCGAAGGTCGGGTGTTCGAACCTGAACTGAGGTAGGAATTTTTCATCTGTGGGAGAGATGGGAATTTCCTTAGATCAGTTTCGAGCACTCCGAAAAAGGTTTTCCTGCGTTTTCCTAATCCGTAAGGTAAATACCGGAACAACTTACGACCTTCTGCAGGGGCACCTATAAAAAGCATTATGCGAGCCACTTTGTAATTGGACGTAAGCCTGTTGAGGGCCTAGAACAAGAGGGACAATAAATTAATAAATAAATATGTAAATAAATAACGTGAAATTTGGATCTACATATTTTATTTCGCCATCTCGAATTTTGGATGAATTGGCTGCAATCAAAGATATGGCAAGTTTACTTTGTTCGCGAAGCCCTTGAGAGAAACACCGCCAACGCAGACTATGCATGAAGACGATTTAAACGCCCTCTTACCAGGGCGTGTTAGGACGTTACATGTTCCCATTCCATGCAACATATTTAGACAATAGTATTCTCTACGGCTTCACAATGTTCTGTGCAAGAAATATTCCTCCACGTTGCGGACGCACAACAAAACCCACGTCACGAAAAGGAATTTATACCCCGTATAAAATAGTAGGTGATAAACCGTTTTTCCCTTGCAGGTGACACGTACAAAAGTTGATCACATAAATTTCGAAGAAGAAATTGAGGATATTGCTCTAAGGACATTATTAAACGACGCAAAATTTGACAAGATACGGCGATATACCATATACTTAGGGCTGGAATATTCTATCCTTACACATAATAAAACGGGACCGAAGGTTTATATCTAAATTTAAGCGGCTCTATTGCAAAAGGGGAACGAAATTTATTGGGAGTTATCACAGGTGATGAACCATCGCTTTGGGTGCGAGGCCTTTGTCGTACACAATGTATTTTTAAGACGTCTCTAATTTCGTTTTATTTTCATGGTGACATTTAACGAAAGTAATCACTTTTATGGGTTCTTTAAAACTATCTCTTAGCAATAAACTGACTCCCAGGCTTTTATTAGCTTGGTCGGATACGGATCAGAGTTACTCACAATAGCTTTTATCCGGGCATGTTAGTTTCACCAAAAACCTTTACATTTTGATCCTGGGTGATATTCGAGCGCGTGGGATGTATGCTAAGACGAAGTTTGCGGGGACGCTTTAACGTCGCTTCGGGGAGTTAGTTTTGAGACGTACAATGTGGGCGGATATGAACGAAACTTCGCAACTTCAGTAATTTTAGGTTAGAAATCTCACATTTCGGTTCTGCGTCTCCTTGCGAAGAAAATTAATGTACTTTTACTCGTCTCGCGGTTTACCTACCAGAAATAGAATGGCGGAGGTCGTGGGGCTAAAAACTTACGGGCGGAATGAGTTATTTAAAATTAGGGGGCTGGAAGACACCGAGGCGCTATGTCATTCGTTTTTTATGAATCGCGAGTGCCGGAATACGTGCGTAGGCTGTCAAAGACGCGCCATTACCTTTTAATGCGTTTCATATTTTTAAAGAGAAGACGACCAACTCGAACGTAAATTACTATTCTTCTCTCTTAAATCTTAAAGCTTATCTTTCTAATGTCTCTAAAAATTTTCGCTCTCTTTTATTGCCTTACAGGAATACACGTCATGCATCATATCGACCATAGTTTTTTGAGTGGAAAGATTGTCATAAAGGGCGAACGAAACTTATTCATGCAGGAGGATCTTAAGTTTAATTTCCAAATGGGATCATAAGAGTCTGCTGGCGCTAGCTAAATTATGGCATTGTGTGCCTTTATTATAAAGTATGAGACTAAAGAGTCATTGAAATTAGATTTGAAGAGGTTCCAAGAAAGAGCGCGTCCGTTTCTGCTCCATCGCTCTAGCAATGGCACTCGACCCGTGAAAAGGGTTGTAAGAATAATTACGTTACCTCCAACACCCATGACGATCGGTCCAGCATACGAAAGATTGTTAAGATGGAAACCGCGCGACTCGTTCTTAATCCTCACCGTATGATTGCCTCGGATCTCCTGGGCGACGGACAAGTGATCCGCGTAATAGCCTAAAACAGAAAAAGACGAATTCAATTCGGGATTTCTGGTGGGCGAGTTTAATTCAATTTGAAGTTGGAATAAGTATTGATCGTAAATGGAAAAAGGAGTAGGACGAACGAATAGGAGGATAAACGTGCTTAAAACAGCGACGAGGGAGAAACGAAATTAAATTTAAAAGGAAGATGTCAAAGTTTAAGAGCTTCGAATATTATTAACACGTCGGCTTACTTAAGTTGTGCTTTTAATAAACTGCCGTCACGTTGTGGTATTATATTGAATTGTTTTCTCCAAATAAGTTTGAGAAAATTAAGTTACCTCTGCAATTTGTGTTCCTTCCAGTTTAATTATAAGATTAAACCGAAAATGTTCGAAACTATTGTGTAAGTTTGAGTGAAATAAAACTTTTTCCCAAACCTCTCAAATAAGACGCTATCTTTTCACACCTTCGGGTACCTACGTAAAATAGGAAATTTTGGGAGCAATCGGTATCACGATGGTAACTGTGCAAAAGGTAGGTACTTTTCGCACTAGTCCGAAAAGTAATTTGACCTTGACTATTGATAAAAAATTACACATAGTTATGTAATGATCTTAGCCTCCAACTCTCTTGGCGGCTAACGCCAACTTCAGGTCACACCGAAATATTTGACCATATTCTGTAGCAGCGGGAACGCCAAACTAACATGGCTGCCTATTTGAATATTCTCGATTAAGTTTCGCGCTCTGTGGCCACTCCGAGTGCACTAACATTGTGATCGTCATGTAGGACACCTACGTTGTGCAGTAACTGGGTTCTAAGCGTTTTATGGGTAAGGAACACCAAAAGCAACAGGCGATTGAAATTATATTGAAGCTAATATCAATTTGGATGGGGCCGAAGCCTATTAAACCAAATGGCACGATCCCCTAGGGCTCGTGAGAGAAGATCGTACCCAAGAAACTCTCCGTCGCAGTCTCCAGGAACGTACATGTCAAAGCCTACAGCTAACATCTAATGTACAGCACTTTTGAGACCTCTCGATAGTAAAACTCTTTAGCACAAACAGGGGTAAATACTACGAACATGCTATGAGTAACCAAAATGGAATCGAGCCATTCCCCAGGTATTACAACACATACATAGGACAAAACTAAGAGATAGTAAATGTGCCTCGCCGGACGGTAGGATTACCCACGCCCAGTGGGGTACCTGGGGACATGGGCTAGAGGTGTTTGGTTTCGGAATGAGTGAAAATGTTAGTGTTTGGTTCACCAAAGCCCGTATAAACTTGAATAACTCGATTCCCAATAAACACACGCTTTGGCTACTCCGGCTTGTCACGGCACAATGGCAAGGCAATGAAATAATTGAACCAATGACAAAGAGGTTCGAGAGTGACTAAAAGGCGCAATACACAAATATCAGAACATATGCAAATATGTACACAATGGACACAGCCCTACCGACAATGAAACATAATTGCCAACACCAACAAAGGTTACACATTAGAGGTACAAGTAATTGAATTAATTGTCCGGTAAGTACATAAGTAAAGGGTTACAATCTGCATTTAAGTTAGACACATTCAGAGATAAATTAAATCAAGCAAATACCTCACCTGATATAAAAAGCAATATCACACATTAATGATTAAGGTATAACAAAAATATTTCAAGATAACCCGTACTTCACACTTAATCCGGTTACAAGAAAAAGACCCTGAACACATTCTCTACATCGTATTTATTAACTTCTCCAAGCGACGCTGTCACTTGATCCCTTAACACCCCTAAAAACCTTCCGAAAAACGCCCATTGCCTGCATTTCTAGGAAAACTCTGGAGTTCAGGTTTTGAACATGGCAAACACATGTCGTCTTCCCATCTCATCTTCGCTCTCTTTCTCTTTTCTATAATTCCACCAGGTTTCGGTTGGCAGCAATTTGTAACTAACATGATGTATAGGGTGCTTCGTATTGACAATCATATTCACAGGATGTTGCTACAGTTGGGGCACCACAGTTACGTCATTCAACATGACTTGAGATTAGAAACGGTAAACATGTACTACTTTTGTAGTTTTGATCCACAACCTTTAATCAAGGCACCCAGCTTACTTTGAGTAATTACAGCGGTAATACAAATCAATGCCAACATTTACACCTCTAAGGCCAAACCAAACAAAGTGAGGTTAAAATTTGATTACTTACTACGAACACCATT